GGGGCAGCAGCGGTGACAGCCCAGTGCCTGGGGCCCTGCACCCACGGGGAGACCCAGATGGAGCTCCTGGCTTCCCTGGGCGGCAGCCGCTTGGGGGCTGAACCGGAGGTTGGAAGCCCCCCCACCCCGTCACTCTAAGAAATGCGTTTGTAGAAGCTCACTCCCTCCCCCCCGCCCCCCGAGCTGCAGGGCTCCCGGGGCAGGTGTGGGGCTCCACCCCCACTCCCACCTGCTCCGTGCTTCCTCCTGTGCACCTGCTGGGGCTTGGACGGCACCTGCTGGCCCCTTTGTAAGAGAATGCCGTCCCTGGGGATGGATCCAGGGGCGGGGGATGGCGGCTCGCACGGCCCCCTGGTCACCCTGCTGGCCGTGACCTTCAAGGCTCCCCCGAGCCGGCTGGATCTCCGCTGCGGGGCCGTCCAAGCTGAGAGGGGGGAGGGTAGCAGGTGGGTGGGTGACGGTGAGGCCAGGGATAGTAGGGGGTGGGGGCTGGGCGCGGGTCTAAATCCCCACGCGGGCAGCAGCCACCACGGAGGGTCCAGAGCCTACGGGGAGGAGGGGCCTGGCCCTGTGGAATTGGGCGGCCCCCCGTGTGGCAGCAGAGCCGGGCCTGGGGGTGCAGCGCCCCCCCTCTGCCAGGCCCGGCCGTCTTACCTGGGACAGGCAGGTGAGGACCGAGGCGCAGGGGTCTCCTGTCGCTGGGCCACCCCCAAGTGCCCTAGACAGCTGGGAGCCCAGAGCTGCAGCCGGGGTGCCCCCCGGGTTCTGGGGGCTCCCCGGCTGCCTCAGTGGGCTGCTGTAATTCAAAGCCGAGGCGGGACTGGGACCCCGGCCGCCGCTGCTCCGCCGCCACTACTCCACTCCCGCGCCGAAGAAGCACTGATTATGCACCTACTGTGTACCAGCCCTGGGACCTGCCCTCCCAGTTCCCCCAGCCTCTGCCAAACCAGCCAGGGATGAAGTGCGCCATGTGGCTGCTGCGGCGCCGTGGGCTAAGCCGCCTGCAGCGCGGGTGTCGCATGCGCGCGCCGGTTCGAGTCCCAGCTGCTCCTCTTCCGATCCGGCTCCCTGCTCATGGCCTGGACGGCGGTGGACGGTGGTCCCACGTGGGAGCCCCGGCCGTCGCGGCCACCTGGGGAGTGAACCAGCGATGGGAGATCTCTCTCTCTCTCTGTCTCCCTCTCTCTGCAACTCTGACTTCAAACAGGAACGTGCCGGGTCTGTGGCCGTGTGCCGCGCATGCTCCGTGCAGAGCGAGCCGGGCAGGTGGGAGGGGCCTGGCGGGGAGGGGCGGGGCCTGACGCAGGTGCCGCCGCTGGTGGTAGGGGGCGGGAGGGGCCCTGGGGAGCAGATGGCCAGGTTCACCCGGCACTGCGGAGGGAAGTGCGGGTGTTCCCAGACCCGCAGCGTGGGGTGAGCGGAGGATGGAGCCGAGGCTCGCGGGAACCTTGGCGCCTCCGTGCTGGATGCAGCCGCGCCTGAAGGCCTCGGGCGAGTGTGGGAGGAGAGGAAGTTGCCGTGCCGGGGCGCGTGGAGGCCGGAGGCCGCGGGGGGTGCGCGCTAAGGAGGGCTGGGTGTGCCAGGCGTGGGCGAGGCGGCCGGGGTTGGCACACGCCGCTGCCGCGGGGCAGGGCCGCTCGGCCGGTTCCTCTCCCGTCCCGGGAGCCTGGGCTGGGCGAGTTGGCGGCGCTAGGCTTGGAATGAAACCTCGAGAGATTTTCTTCCAAATGTGAGGCGGCCGGGTCGGGCCGGCGCTCCCTGCTCAGGCGTGTGCCGAGTGCCGGGCAGGTCGGGACAGGCTTCAGAGGCCGCAGGACCGCACAGGGCTGCCGGAGGCGCCAGGGGGCAAGCAGGGGTCCCGGCCGCTCCGTGGGCCTTGTGGCCGCCGTCCCCTTCGCCCACAGAGGGGTGGGAGGGAGCCGCGGCCGCAGGGCCTTTGCACCTGCTATGCGGCCAATGGCTGCTGTCCTCTGGCTCCCTCCGTCAGATCCAGACCCCGGGCGCTCCTCTTCCGCGAGGCCCCATGCTCGCCGGCCTTGCGAGGCGACCGCAGACCTGGGCCCGCTCAGCCTTGGGAAGAAGAGAGGCCCACTGTGACTCTTGCTCTGCCCGCTTGCGGTCAAAGGTCATGGCTGGGGCTGAGCTGCTGGCTGGCAGGGTCCCGTGGGGGTGGAGGGCATGGCCAGGGAGAGAGAGGGAGAGCGCATGTGTGCGTGTATATTGCGTGCGTGTTCCGGCCTCAAAGCTACCAGGAGGGGCAGGCGTCACAGCTCTGCGGTTAAGCCGCTGCTTCCGGCCCCCGCGCCCCATCTCAGCGCCTGAGTTCAAGGCCCGGCTGCCCGGCGGCGCCCGCTCTCTGCTCATGCGCACAGCGCGCCCCGATGGAGCTCCTGGCTCGGCTGTGGGTCGGGGGCCGCGAACCCCCGGGCAGAAGAGGTCTCTCTCGCTCTCGCTCTCGCTCTGCCTTTCAAACCCAACCCAGCCTCAATCCCAGTGCACAGCCCCTGGGGCGCCGGCCACCAGGTCCTCCCGGCGCGCGCGCGCTCGGTGGATGATGGGTAATTTTTATTTTCTCCTTTTTGCTGATTTCCCCTCATTTTCTGCGGCACGCGCCTATTTTATAATTAGAAGAGAAGTTATTTTGAAAAAAAAAAAAAATTTACCCCCGAACGTCCCAGCTGCGGGAACTGACGTGAGCCGGCCGAGTCGCCTCCCCCAAGGGCAGCCAAAGCTTCCTTGGGCAAGGTAACCAGGCAGGCTTCCTGGAGGCGGCAGCTCGGACCTTCCAGGTGCTCAGGTCCAAAGCCCTGGGTCATCCTTACCTCCCACGCCAGCCCCTGTGTCGGTCGGTCCCCAGAACAGAGCTGAAACACACCAGTTCCTTCCCTTGTGCCCCCACTGGGACCGGCCCCAGCCACCCCCACCCCCAACACCTGAGTCAGGCCCCGCCCCTCCTCTGCCCACAGCCCCCCACGGCTCCCACCTCCCTCGGAGCCAAGTTCAAGTCCACACAGCCACAAGAGCTTGCCCTGTGCCTCCCTCCTCCCACTCTCTGCTCCAGCCACACTTGCTCCTCCAGCACCCCAGGACCTTGGCACAAGCTGTGCCCGCTTTTTGTTTTAGAAGAAGATGCGTTTATTTTATTTGGAAGGCAGAGTTAGAGAGGGAGAGACAGAGCTCTCCCATTTGCTGGCTCTCTCCCCAGATGCCCGCAGTGTGCGAGAGTGGGCCAGGCTGAAGCCAGGAGCCAGGAGCTTCATCCGGGTCTCCCACGTGGGTGCAGGGCTCCAAACACTAGGGCCAACACCTGCTGCTTTCCCAGGCACAGTAGCAGGGAGCTGGATCGGAAGCGGAGCAGCCAGGACTCGAACTGGTGCCCATGTGGGATGCTGGGGCACGGCGCCGGCCCCTGCGCCGCCGTCTGTCTCGGTTGCTCTTCCCCCGGACACCGGCGCCTCCTCGCGCGTCCCTGACCTTCCCGGGGTCCAGCTCTTCCCTGCCCGCCAGCTCCCCGCGGTCGCTGCGAGCCTGGAGCCAGGCCTTGGCAGGTGCTCGGGCCGCGGCTGTCTCCTGGGCGCCCCGGCCCCGACCCCTGGGGGCCCAGGACCTGGCGGGAACCGAGGCAGCCCCGGTACCGGCCGCCGACGCCGCCGTCAGGAGGGAGAGGCCGGCCTGGGCCGGGACTCCACAGACGGGGCCGCGAGACCCGGCCCGGGCCCCTGGGGCTCTCCCCCGCCCGCACAGTGGCCCGGTTCCCAGCTTCCAGGGGGCGGGAGGTCGTCTCCATGGCGACATAGGCGGGACCGCCTGGGGGAGGGGGCGGGCCCAGCCGGCTGCTGTCGCCTGGTGGGTCCTGAGCAGCCCCCAGCCAGGCACTGGTCCTAGACCCTGAAGCCCTGCGCATTCATTGAGCTCCTGCTGTGTACGGCGCTTTTTTTTTTTTTTTTTTGAAAGGCAGAGTTAGAGACAGAGAGGTCTTCCATCCCCTGCTCCACTTTCCAAATGGCCGCGACGGCCGAGGCTGGGGTGCAGCCAGGAGCCAGGAGCTCCATCCGGGTCTCCCACGCGGGTGCAGGGGCCCAGGGACTTGGGCCGTCCTCTGCTGCTCTCCCAGGCGCATCAGCAGAGAGCTGGGTCGGAAGTGGAGCAGCCGGGACTGGAACCTGCAGGCGGCCGCTCAACCCCAAGTCTTTTATTACAGGCGCGACAACTGAAGTCAGGGACCCCAGTCAGAGAGGGCAGTGCCCGGGCTCCAGGGGGTCCCTGTCTGCTGGCAGGTGCAGGCCCCCCCGCCCCGTCCCTGCCCCTGGGCCCCAGCCCCTGCCTGCCCTCCTGGTCCCTTCTCTCTCCTCCACTTTGCTTTGGCCGAAGGAGCTGATGGTCGCGCCGGCCCCCTAGGGCCGCCTGAGCGGGCGCACCGCTGGTATACACGCGGCGCTTAATAATGCTGGCTAGGGGCACCTCCCGTCCTGAGGCCCTCCCGCCGGGAGTGGGAGTGGGGAACCGGCCTCGCCGAGGCGGCCCGTGGGTCTCCATCGGGTCCGCGCCCGTCGCCTGCATCGCAGCCTCCCCGTGGGCCCCAGGACCCGCCCGGTCTCCGCATTCCGTGCCTTTGCGTGGAGTTTTCAAACCCGCATCCGCACCCCGGGCGGCAGAGCGCGCCGGGATTGGCCGCCGGGCCGCGCCGCCCCTCCCCTCCCCCGCCCCCTCCCCCGGCCCCCTCTGGTCCGCTCGGATCGGGTGTCACGGGCCTGGCACGGCCGCCCATCTGTTTCCAATCCGGCCCTGCGCTCTGCGCCCCCTCCCGGGGCTCGTGGCGAAGGCGGGGGCCTCTGCCGCCGTGGCCCCCTCCCCTTCATTCCCGGGGACCCCCAGCAGCCCCTTCTCCCACCTCCTGAGTCTGGGCCGCCCCCCGCCGAGGCCCTCCTCCGCCCGGGGCAAGGGGGCACCGGGCAGGGGCTCCCTCCCTGCCCTGCACCCCACCGAGGGGCCCCCGCCCCGCTTCCGCCCGGGGCCCCGCCCCCGCCCCGCCCCTGCCCCGCCCCCAGGCCGAGCTCGCTCGCGCGCGCCGCGGCCTCTCCCGAGCGCTCCCCGCTCCGGGCGCCCAGGGACGCGCGCTGAGGCTGGGACGGCGCGGCCCCATCGCCGAGCGGCGGGTGAGTGCGCCCGGGACCCCCTTCTGGCCCGAGGCCCGCAGTCCGTGTCGGGCTCGCTCCCCTGCGGCTGGGCGCGGGGGACCCCCGCGTCCTCGCCCCCCGGCCCCGCACCCCGGCCGGGTCCGGGCCTGCCGCCCGCCCTCCCGCTGCCTGGCGCCGCCACCCCCACCGCAGCCCGGCGGCCCGCACTTGGGAGAAGTCGGGACCGTTAGGCTCCGCGGCTCCGTTCCCTGCCTGGCCCGGGGCCCGCCTCCCCCCACCTCTCGGGGGCGGAGCCAGGCGGGGGTGGAGGGGCTCGGGGCGCCTTCCCGGCGACGCCGGCGGCGGAGGAGGCCGCAGGACCTGGAGGGTCAGGTCCGGAGGTGGGCTGGGGGGGGGGGGTGCTGTGCTGCCGCTGCCCCTCCCCCCCATCACGGGAAAGTTTCCTTCCCCGCGCGCCCTGGACCTGTGGGTCCGACTCGGCCGCTGAGCCTTGAAGAACAGGGTGGGGTGCAGGGCGCGAGCAGGGCGGGGGGCGGCTTAAGCAGACCCCCATCTTCCCGGTCTCCAGGCCCGGCCCTGCGCCTGCCGTGGTCCACTCTGCCTCGGCCTCCCGCTGGCTTCGCGGCCTGGGCCCATGGACTTCCCAGTCCTCCCAGGGGTCCGGCTGGCCCCGCCCCAACCCCTCCCCCCGGGATGATGGCCGGAAATTGCTGGAATCACCCAGTATCCCCCGACCCCCACCCCCAAGCAGAGGGGGCCCAGGAGCGATGCAGAGAAAGTGCTGGGCATACAGCAGGCGCCGGCTATGTGCAGCGGGGTGGCGACAGAGGTGTGCAGGGAGTGCTTCCTGGAGGAGGGGGCCCTCAGCTGAGCCCCGAGGCTGGGCAGGAGGGCTGAGATGAGACGGGGAGCCGGGAGTAGGGGGCGAGGGGCCACACGGGCAGCTCTGGGAGCAGGGCTGGGGCAGGGCTGGGGCAGCACTCCAAGGGAGAGTTGATGGCAGCCAGCTGGGGGGCTCGGTCACGCGAGGCGGCATGTCCAGGGTCCCTGGCTGAGGGGCCCAGCAGCTGGGAGCCCCAGTGGGGGTGTGAGCCACACAGGGCACCCAGGCCGCGGCCGCCTCAGCTGGTGGCGGAGCTGGGGACGCGGACGCCACAGACGCAGCCCAGCCCCGGTCCACGCGTGGCTCTCGGCGCTGTGTTGGCATCTGTCAAGCAGGAGGGAGCTCGGGCCTGGCCCCGCTGCCGCCCGTCCACTGCTGGCCGCGGGGACCCTTGGGGACGGGGCCCTGACCCTTGGCTCTCAGTGCGCGTGGGCGGTCCGTTAGAGCCAGATCTCAATTCCCGAGGGGCGCCCCGCCTGGAGCCTGCATCCTGCGGGAGGGGGGGCAGCAGGCGCCCCTCAAGGGGAGGGGCTTGGCTGGAGCCAGTGACCACCCAGCCCCTCTCCCCCTCCACGGCACACCCTGAGTGACGGGTCGTGGGCAGGGGGCTGGGGCACTCGGACAAGATTCTGGACAGCAGGAGCCCCGAGGGAGGTGCCTTGGAGGTGAGGTAGGGGCAGCAGGGTCGTGGGGTCCCCGTCTGTTCCTCGAGGGTGGGAATTGGGCAGCTGAGCCCCCCAGACTCCCTGGGGCTGGGCGCAGGTCCCAGGAGACCCCGCCTCGCGCAGGCGACACCAGCCCTGGGGTATAATCGCCCCTTTATGCTCGCTGGGCTGCGTGGGCACACAAAGCCGGCCCCGGGATCGCATGACCCGGGCTGGGACGGCTGCCCGTTCACCTGTCGGCTGGTGCCGCGTGGGGACCCTGGGCGGGGTCTCGGTGGGCCTGTTTCCGTGCACAGGGCCCTGCGCTCCGGGAGCTCAGAGCCGGCGGGACCCCAGTGGGGACCCGGGTTCCAGGTCCAGCCGCCACTCCCTTTCTCCACTCCACAGTGTGTTTCTCTCCAGTGCCCCGAGGGCAGCCGTCCCCTTGCTGGTGGCCGCCCCGTGCCACGGGCGCGTCTCACCGGGCCAGGCGGGTGGCCCAGCTGCCTTAGTTGCAGGAACGGCGACGTGGCCATGTTGGCCCAGCGCCAACCCAGCCACGTCCTTCCCTGGCCCGGGCTGCCCTGTGGGTCCCGCCCACACCCACTCCCTCCCTTCCTCCTTCCTAGGACCTCTGAGTCCCCTCTCTTGTCTGTTCTCAACGCTGCTCCTCGTGCAGAGGTATCCTCAACTCCCATCCGCTCAGTGCTCAGCCAGTGCACACGGTGTGTGCAAAGGCCCTGAGGCAGGCCCAGGGGCTGGGACAGAGTGATCGATGGCCAGAGAGGGAGGAGGGGACAGGGCACGGGAAGGAGGGGGCTCTGACCCCGAGGGGCTGGGAGCCAGTGGGGACCGCACTCGGGGGTTCCCAGGTGTCCTTGCTACAGGGAGCACAGGCGGGGGTGGGGGCCGAGGTGACAGAGCGGGTCCCGGTGGGCGGTGATGGTACTGGACCAGGTGGAGGCCAAAAATAGTGCCGGCGAGTGGGCAGCTTCTGGGTGGACTGTGAAACCCAGGAGGCTTGTGATGTGCCCCCCACGCCGGGGCTTCCGGCGGGGCAGATGCTGGCTCTGCGGGGTCCTGCCCGGGCCCTCTGCTGCACCTGGGGCAGGGGTGCCCCGCAGTGGGCGTGGCCAACCTGGGGTGTCGCCAGGGGCTGCCCAGCTCCCCCAGGCCCCCTGTCTCTGCGCCCCGGGCGGGCTCTCCGAGCTGCGGGCTGGGGGGCGCTGCCTCAGTCTCCCCAAGGCCAACCCTCACCCAGCCCCCGCCCCCAGACAGCTGCAGGCTTCCTGGTGGCCGCTTTGCCTCTTAGGGGGCCCAGGAACGCACCCAGCCCTGGCCTCTGCACCGTCGTGGGTCTCTGCCCGTGGGGCCGGGCTGTGTGGGCGGGGGCGGCCCCTGTGCACCTGCCCAGGCACCTGTGGCTGCGCGTGTGGCCCCACTGTGCGCCCGGGGTCTTGTCTGTTTCCCTGGGGGTCTGACCCTGCCCGTGTAGGTGTCACTTGTCTGACACGCTCTGTGGTCTGACTGTGTGTCCAAGTGCGTCCGCAGGCTGACTGTGCACTGGCTCTGCCTGCGTGGCCTCACTGCGCGCGCTGAGCCGCTCCGCCTGCGCTGGCCGCCCCTGGACGGTGACCCGGCCACGGCCCAGCCTTGCCCCGAGGCCTTGCCCTTGCCTCGCCGGGGCTGGGCGAGGCGACCGCAGACCACAGCCGGCTAATTTAGGACCCAGATCACAGAGGCGGTCCTGCGCTATGGCCACGGCCAGGACCCACCCAGGGCACGGCCGGGTGGGTGCTGGGCGGCTCAGGCCCCGCCCTGCTCTGGCTGTGGCCCCGGCAGGTGTCCGGGCAGTGGGAAGAGGCCGGTGCCCGGGGGAGCGGCGCTGGGTGCTTGGTCATGGGGGCCACTGAGGGGGGTCCGTGTTGGCTCTGCTCTGGCCACGGACCGGGGAGGGGGCTTCCTGTGGGAGTGACGCCCCCCGGGAGCTGAGGATGCCCGGTGGGAGGGGCGGCGGGGCGGGGAGAGAGTCCCCCCAAGGGGCTTGGCCTGGGGCTGGGGTCTGGGGACTGCCTTGGTCCTGGGGGCTGCTCCCGCCGCATTCCACAGGGACGCCCATCGCTGGAGAACGGGGCGCGAGGCCCTGTGGGTCAGTGGGGGAGGGGATCTCCCGACCTCTTTATTTTTTTTAAGTTTACGTGAAAGGCAGAGAAAGAGAGCTGTCCCGTGCTCTGGCCTCCTCCCCAGATGCCTGCGCCGGCTGGGGCCGGAACAGGCAGTAGCCAGGAGCTCCATCCGGGTCTCCCCAAGGGTGGCAGGGCCCCCGAGGTCTGCAGCAGCAGGGGCTGGGACTTGAACCCAGGCCCAGAGCTGCGGGGCAGGGGTGTCCTGAGCCCGCCCTGGGGGCCTCCCTGCCAAGGGCGCTGACCCCAGGCACGAGGAGGCCTCCGTCCCCAGGAGCCGGCACCCGCCCCTCCCCCAGCCCTCGCCTGTGCCTCTGGGGCCCCCAGCTGCGCCTCCCTGCAGCCCCCCCAGATCTGCCCCCGCCGTCTCACAGCCCCTTGCTGTCTCCGCAGACGCCGCCCCGTCCGACGCCCGGCGCGAGGCCTGTCTGTGAGGGCCCCGGGGGGCCGCCCCCTCCAGGTCGGAGGTCCAGCATGGCGGCCGCGGGGGGCCCTGGCGTGGCGGCCGTGCGGGGTCCCCTGGGCCTGCTCGTGCTCCTGCTGCTCGGAGGCTGCACCGCGGAAGGTAAGACGGGCCGGGCCGCCCGCGGCTGGGGCACGGGTCAGCCGTGTGTCACTGGGGCGCGTGGGACCGGGCACCCGCCTCCTGGGCTTCAGAGGAGAGGGCTACGATGATGGTGACAGTGAGGGGAAGCTGAGGGGCCCACGGCCGTGGGGTCGCTCCTGAGCGAGCCGGGGGTCTTCCACGTGCCCCGGGGGTGGGCGGAAGCGCCAGAGGGAAGCTCCTCGGGCAAGAAGGGCGCCGTGGCTGGGTTTTGTGGGTGTGTAGGAGTTTGGCAGCAAGGAGGTGAGGGCATTTAGAGGTGGGCAAGGCTGCTCCTGGGTGCGGCTGAATGGGGGTGCAGGTCCTCGCCTGGGGCGAGGGAGGCAGCGCAGGGGTGGGAGTCGGCTGTGGCGTCGTCAGGCGAGGTTCTGGGTCCCAGGAGTGCAGGCGGCAGGCGGAGCCGTGCAGTGGCCCTGGGGCAGGCCTGAGCCTGTGTGGCGCCTGCGGCTGGGGCACAGCGAGGGAGGGGGCTGGGTAGGCCATGGGCTCCGGGCCCAGGAGGGGCTGGGACCCGGCTCAGGGCTCACTGGCGCCCTCTGGTGGCTGCTAGGGGAGCACCGGCCCCCCCAGGAGCCCCCCACGAGGGTCACCATCCTGTCACTGTCCAATCCCGAGTCTCCAAGCCCCTGGGACCCGCAGGTCCACTGGGCGGGAGTCCCTGGCAGGGTTTGGGGTGGGGGAGGGAGTCTCTCGGGGGCAGGGCTGGGACTCCCAGTCCAGGGCGCCCAGCCATGTCCTCCTCTGGCCATGACCTCTGCTCCAGAGACGGCCCGGTCCAGTGGGACCTTCCCAGGATGCCGCGGGGCCGGGCCCTCGCTGCGGGAGGAGGGGCGAGGTAGGGCCGTAGGGCTCCGGTGTGTGGGGGGGTGCGGCCCTCTACCCGCAGGGGGCAGCTCTCCCTCTGCTGGTGGGGCTCATGTGGGACCCCTGTGCCGAGCTCACCATGGGGTCCCGGCCGCGACGTGTGCTTCCTGCCTCCCTGAGCGACACAGACCCCGCTCACCCCCACAAGGGTCTCAGAGGGGGTGTGGTGGGCAGGGACAGCTCCCCTGGGACCTGGGGCTGGCGGGGTCGCGTCTGGTGGGCGCAGGGGCCTTGGAACTGCTCTGAGCCCAGCCGGCAGCCAGCACCGGAGGTCTGGGGACAGAAAGCCAGTGTGGCATGCCCCGCAACCAGGCTGCCCGCTGCACACACCCGGGGCATCCGCGGGGACCCAGCCTGTGGCAATCCGGGAACACTGCCCGGAGGAGGTGCCGGCTGCCCCGCGGAGGGAGGAGGGCTTTGCGGGTGGGGGCGGGGAGCGTGTTCTGCCCTCGAGGCCCACGCTGGCCTCTGCCTTCCCTCTCGGCAGCTGTGAGCGGCAGGGCTTGGCCTGGCCACTGTCTTTCCCCGGGGCGGCCCTGTCCAGGTCACTGTTCCCCAGGCAGCCTGGGTGTGGGACCCAGCTTCCTGAAACGGGCTCCTGGGGTGTCCCGCCAGGGAGTGTGCGGGGGCGGGACCCCCACGTGTGCGAGGGAGGCCGGGCTTTCCACACTGCTCCGGCCGCAGCTGAGGCCTGGGTGGGAGAAACCGGGGTCCGTGGGGACCCAGGCTTGGCACCTGACGCCTTCCAGAAGTTTCTGGGGGCGTCCGCGGCCCCTGTGCCGTGCTGGTCTGCGGCTGAGGGCAGGCAAGGCTCCAGTTTCCGGTGGTCAGGCCCTGCCTCCCCGCAGGCCCCAGGCTTCTGATGAAAGGAGTGGGCGTTGCTGCTGCCTCGACCCCGGACCCTCAACCCCAGCCCCTACCCCGACCCCCAACCCTGGCCCCCGGCCCCTTGCTGACGCCCACCCCCCCCCCCCGCGTCCGTCCCCTGCGGAGGAGCAGGGTGGAGTCCCCGCGCCTGGCTTCCGCCTGGCCTCCTGGGGTTTGGGGAGTGAACCAGCAGGTGGGAGAGTCCCCTCTCCCCTCCCCTCTCCCTCTCTCTCTCTGCCTCTTAAATAAGGAAATCGTTTTTTAAAGCCTTCACTTTTTTTCTCCAATCGACTCGCTTTAAAAAAAACAATTTTCTGCTTAAAAAAGGAAAAACACGGATGGGTTTTTAAACACCCCAGCTGTGCACCTGCTCTCGGCACAGCTCCGCAGAGGCAGCCGCGGCCCCCAGGCACGCCCGTCCACGCCGCACACATGCACGCACGACACACGTGCCGGACGTGCACACGTGTGCACACACATGCACGCCACACACCTGCAAGATGTGTACACACACGCATGACACACGCACATACACACATGCAAGACATTCACACGTGCACACATGACATGCCTGCCAGACGTGCACACATGTGAACACACATGCACACACACCACACGCCTGCCAGAGTGCACATACACACATGTGCACGCAATGCGGTGTTGGGTCTCCTGCCCCCTTGTTCCCTGCCTTGTGCTGATCCGGCTCCGTCGCTGCCAGCCCCAGCCCCTTTCACAGCCGGGGGCCAGCGCCGTGGCGCAGCGTTCAGGCCCTGGACTGCGGTGCTGGCGTCCCACATGGGCGCCGGTTCAGGTCCCGGCTGCCCCACTTCCGATCCAGCTCCCTGCCGTGGCTGGGGAGGCAGTGGAGGGTGACTCGGGTGTCCGGGCCCCTCTCTCTCTCTCTCTCTCTCTCCCTCTCTAACTCTGACTTTCAAATAAGCAAATCTTGTGGGGGGGGGGGGGGACTGCCGTGGTTAGGCGGGTCCCGGGTTCACTAATCCCCTCTTGTTGGATGTCTAGGTTACTTTTTTTCCTGAAAGATGTATGTATTCATCTGAAAGTCGGGGTTACAAAGTTACAGAGAGAGTTACAGAGTTAGGAGAATGGAGAGGGAGGTCTTCCGTCCTTGGGTGCATCCGCAGTGGCCCGACCAGGCAGGAGCCGGGAGCTTCCTCCAGGTCTCCCTCCCGGTGCAGGGGCCCCAGGGCTCGGGCCATCCTCTACTGCTCTCCCAGGCCACAGCAGAGAGCTGGATCGGAAGTGGAGCAGCCGGGACTCCAACCCGCTCCCATACTGGGTGCCAGTGTCGCAGGCGGCGGCTTTACCCGCTGCGCCACAGCGCCGGCCCCTTTAGGCTACTGCTGGTGGGCTCGCGAGCTCGCGACACCCCGCCACCTCGGCCACCGCTCCTTGCGCGGGACGCGGTGCAGCGACCCGGCCGGCGGAGCCCTGGTGTCCTGGGCGACTGAGAAATCGCGCTCCCGAATGTTCGCTTCTGCAAATTCTTCAGTTTGAGGGGCAGCGACGCTCCATGCCTCGGCCACAGCAGGGCTGGGACCGCCATCCGGGACCCCGGGGGTTGTCACGGGGGCCGGGGGCGGGACCTGAGCGGGCTGGGGGCGGGGCTGAGCCGGAAGGGGGCCTTGGGCGGGGCTGGGCTGGGGCCTGAGCCCGGGTGGGGGTAGGGGCGGGGCTGAGTCGATCAGGAGCCGGGGGCGGAGCTGGGCGGGGCCGGGGCCGGGGCTGGGGGCGGACCCAGGCGCTCCGCACTGAGCCGTGGCTGCGGCTCAGCACCTGGTGCAGTGGCGGGTCCCGTGCTGGGCTTGGGTTGGGCGGCCGCCGTCGGAACGTGCGGGCTGCGATGCCCGTCGGGTGCCCGTGGGGCTGGGGGAGTGGGCACAGGGCCCCTTCCTGGCCTAGGGCAGAGTGGGGTTACGAATTTGGGGGCCCAGGGTTCCGGGGGTCTCTCCCGTCGTCCCCAGCGGCACTGGGATGAGCAGGCTCACCCAGGTGGGGCTTGGTCTGGGTTGGGCCGGGGGTGCCCTGGGGGGCGGTGCAGGGGGCTGGGAGGGCTCTGTCTCCTGCCCCTTCCTCCTGCTCGTGGGCCTCCGTGGCTGCGCAGGGGCGGGAGCGGAGGGCGAGCTTGTGTGGCCCCGTGGGGTCCTGGCCCCGTGCCCGGACCCAGGCGAGACCCGTTCTGCCTTCCACGTCCCCAGAGCCACCCAGGTTTATTAAGGAGCCCAAGGACCAGATCGGCGTGTCCGGGGGCGTGGCCTCCTTCGTGTGTCAGGCCACGGGCGACCCCAAGCCACGAGTGACCTGGAACAAGAAAGGCAAGAAGGTCAACTCACAGCGCTTCGAGGTGAGTCGGGGTCAGGGAGGCAGCCTCGGTCCCCGCCCCGACGGGGCCGGGCAGCTCAGCCGCGGGCGAGGAGGACGCCCCCTCCCCACCGGCTCCCTGGTCGTGGCCCCTCCCTGCCCTGCACCCCCCCCCCCCCCCCCCCCCCCGAGCCCCAGCCGCGTTCCCTGGCTCTGCCGCCTGAGCTGTGCAGCCCGAGGTCGGGCCCTAGACCTCTCTGTCTCCACCGGGAAAGCAGCGCCATTGCGCACAGAAGTGCACACGGCCACCGCCGGCGTGGTGGCCAGTCCGGAGTGGGCACGCGGCTCCCGCCCACGGGCACAGGACACCCACCCACGTGCGCTCCGTGGGCTCCCCTGTGCACACGGCTCCCGCCCACGGGCACGCGGCTCGCTCCACCTGTCGCCCGTGCTCCGGCCTGGGTCTCCGGTCCCCGGGCATTTCGCGGGGATGCCCCACGCCCCGCGCACACCCTCCCCAGCGCTGCTCCCAGACGCCCCCGGGCCGCGGGGGTGGGCACGGCCGGCCGGAGGCCCGGAGACCGCAGCTGGCTCACGCCGCGCCCCGCCCCGCGCCCGCAGACGATCGAGTTTGACGAGAGCGCGGGCGCCGTGCTGCGGATCCAGCCGTTGCGTACGCCGCGCGACGAGAACGTGTACGAGTGCGTGGCGCAGAACGCGGCCGGCGAGATCACCGTGCACGCCAAGCTCACCGTCCTCCGAGGTTCGCCCCCCCCCGCGGGCGGTGGGCGGTGGGCGGGGCCCAGGGGCTTTGCGGAGGCCCCGCCCTCTGAAGACGTTTCCTTACCTAAGAGTGACACGGGGGTGGGGGTGGGGTGGGGGCGGGGGGAGAGGTCGCCCATCCGCAGGTTCACTCCCAAACGCCCACCTCGGCTGGAGCCAGGAGCCTCATCCGGGTCTCCCACAGGGGTGCAGGGGCCCCAGCACTTGGGCCACCACTGCCCCCTGCCAGGCCATTAGCTGGGAGCTGGATCGGAAGTGGAGCAGCCAGAACTCGAACCCGTGCCCACGTGGGACTCTTGCCGGCCTCTGTTATTAATCCTGCTATTGTGACCTCAGGTGGCCACCCAGCAGGAGAGAGGCAATGGGGCTGCGTAGTTAGTGTAGGGGTGCAGCCTCCGGCTTCAGATGCTGGACACCCACCCAGTGGTCCCCCTCCCCCACTCGCTCCGGGCCCCCTTGCGTTATCCTGTTGCGCCCCACCCCAGCTGCCCAGGGTCCCGCCCCCGGAACACGGCCGGGGCACCAGACCATGGCATCATGGCGGCCGGCTGCTCGCGTGTGGCCTCAGGGCTGAGCTGCGCCCCCGAGTGCTGACCGCGGAGCAGGGCCACCCCCGGCGGGCTCGGGAACCTCGCGGGGCATGCCCGCAGCACACAGTGGACTGGGGGACGCGGGCGTGCGGGGCAGGGCTTCCTCCGGGTCCCGCGTCCGAGGGCCTGGGTCCAGCCCGCCTCGGCTGCTGACTCCAGCCTGGCAGCACCGGCCCCAGCGCTCTGGCCCCTGCACCCACGCGGGGGACCCGGATGGGGCTCCGGGCTCGGCTTGGCCCAGCCTTGGTCCGGTTTGGGGAGGGGGGAGGGGGAGGGGGAGCGAGCTGTGTCCTGGAGCTTGGTTTGATGCACCGCTGTTGCGGTCTAGAGGTTACCTTTTTAATTTTTGTTTATGTATTTGTTTGAAGGGGGGGGCAGAGGAAAGAGAGGGAGGGAGGGAGAGAGAGGGAGAGAGGGGGGCTCCCACCACTGTTCCCTCCTGAGGCCTTCAGGGGGAGGGGGAGCGAGCTGTGTCCTGGAGCTTGGTTTGATGCACCGCTGTTGCGGTCTAGAGGTTACCTTTTTAATTTTTGTTTATGTATTTGTTTGAAGGGGGGGGCAGAGGAAAGAGAGGGAGGGAAGGAGGGGGAGGGAGGGAGAGAGAGGGGCTCCCACCACTGTTCCCTCCTGAGGCCTTCAGTGCCCAAGCCAGCAGCTGGGAACTCAGTCCAGGGCCCCGGGTGGGGCAGGTGCCCCGGGGTCCTCCTGCGCCCTCGGGTTTTGGGGAGGAGTGGGGGAGGGGTGCGGCCCGCGCCACCCCTCCCCCATCGGGGATCACAGGCTGAATCTCTGGGACTCGGGGCGGGGGTGGGCGCCCCCTCTAGAGCCCCCACCCTCCAGGCCGCCCGTGGGGCCGCTGTGCTGCCTCCCGCCGCCCAGCCTCCGCCATCTGATTGTGGACCCCGCGCACGCCTCCCGCGCTGCTGTTTTAATTAAACTCTGAGGACTGGCGCGGAGCTCCGCGGTGAACATCTTTGTTTAATTAGGAGCTCTGCTAACGCGGCGGCCGCGGCCTGCCCCCCACGCGGGCAGCTGCCGCCCACCCGCGTTCTCGGGACCCCTCCCCCGCCCCGCCTGGGCATGCGCGCACGTGCACACGCGTGTGCGCACACACCCCCACTCAGCCCGGGCCTCCAAGGCCAGCGCGGCACAGCTGCCCCGTGGGACGCTCCTGGCTCTGAGTCCTAGCTCCACTTCCAGTTCCGGCTTCCTGGAACCATCTGCTGGGTCACTCCCCAAACGCCCAGCAGCCAGGCTCGGCCAGCCCACAGCCGGGAGCCGGGAGCCGGGAACCCATGGGGCTCCCCGTGGGCGTCTGCAGGGAGCCCAGCGCCCCCATGTGGGGTGCGGGTGTAGTAGCCACCAGGCTGTTCCCGCGGGGCCCTGGACGAGGGCGGCCGGCTGGGGCTGGAGGGTGGTGAGGACCAGGACGGGACAGCTGGGGGGAGGGGCTGTCGTGTGCGCCCCTGGCCGCTGCGCCCCCTCCCCAGCCGTGAGGTCCACAGGTGTGCGTGCGCGGGGGTGGCCCGGTGGGCCCGCGGCGGCCGGCTGGCGGTGACGGCTCGGCTGTGTCTCTCTCAGAGGACCAGCTGCCCCCCGGCTTCCCCAACATCGACATGGGCCCGCAGCTGAAGGTGGTGGAGCGCACGCGGACGGCCACCATGCTGTGCGCCGCCAGCGGCAACCCCGACCCCGAGATCACTTGGTTCAAGGACTTCCTGCCCGTGGACCCCAGCGCCAGCAACGGACGCATCAAGCAGCTGCGATCAGGTGGGCGGGGCGGCCGCCGGGGGGCGGGGCGGGGCGGGGCCTGCGAGGCGCCGCTGTGCAGGGATGCGGGGATGCGGGGTGTGTTCAGCGAGAGAGGCGGACCGCAGCCGCGCAGGGGGATGGGCGAGGGGAGCAGACCGCACCGCGGACTGGATAGGGAGCCATGGGAGCCGCAGGGGGAGTGTCTCCGAGGACCTGCCGGGCAGGGTGGGGTCTGGCTGTGCGCGGGGCAGCCGGGCCGTCCCGGACCCGGCGTGGCTCCCACGTGCCCATTCTGTGTGTGTGCGTGTGTCAGTCGTCCTGCCCGTCTCCTCCGTGTGTGGCCGTCCCCATGCCTCCCACGCACCCGCGCTCATGCCCCGTGCGGGACCCACGCGTTGTGCCACGCTCACAGCTCTTCTGCTTCCTGGCTCCCCTGCGCCCGAGGGACCTCACCCCTGCCCACTCAGCCTCGCAGAGCCCTCCGCTCAGCCCCGCCCCCAGGCTGTCGGAAGTGATGGAGGCGTGGCTCCCGCCCGCAGAGCTGGGCAAGGGGCTGAGACCCCGGATCCTGACCGGATCCTGACGCCCAGCGCTGTGTCCCGGCGTCACCCGCCTGCCCCCCCACACCCCCGTGCCTTAGCGTTCCCTGACGGCGTCCACCCCCCTGAGGGCCGGCCGGTCCCTAGTGCTCCGTGGGCGGAGCCGCCCCCGCCCCCGCCCTCGCCCTCCCCGGCGGGGCCTTGGGCTCTGCTCCGCGCGTCCCTAACCGCCCTGTTCTCTTTCCTTATCCGTCTCTTGTAACCACCCAGAGACCTTTGGTAAGTCTGACCCCGCGCCACGCCCAGCACTAACGCCCCTCCCCCACACTAACAGCCACCGCGATGGCGACCTGACCCCTCCGTGTGGCATGTTCACTAACGCCGCCGGCCGCGCGGGGGAGAGCAGCCCGAGAGGAAAAGAGGAAAGGGGCTGGCCGGGCCCCGCGACCCCCAGCTGCCGCCGGGCCGCCTCCTACCTGCCCGCCTCGGTGTCCAGCCCGAACTGGACCGAGTTCTTCCTAGGGCAGGAGTCCCTCCCCGGGCTGGGCTGCGGTCCCGGCGGCAGGTGCGGGAGCCGCTCGGCCCTGGAGTGAGTTTAGGGAACATTGGCCTCCTCACAGAGCCGGCCAGCAGCTCCGCGCGAGTTGAGGCCTCAGTGCCTGGGGGCCACAGCACGTCCGGGCTGGGGGGGCCGCTCCCCGCTACCTGGGAGAGCTGCCTCCGGCTCCTGGTGTGATGCCGGATGCTCCCCGGCCCCGCCCGGGCCTCCGTGTGTCCATCCGTGCAATGGGCCTGGGCCACAGAGAGCTGGAATCCCGGCTCGGGCAGACGCGCTGAGGGCGCCGGGCCCAGGGCACCCACCAAAGCCCTTTCCTCTTTTCCCTTGGGGAGTCGAAGGCCTCGTGTCCTCGCTCTGCCCTGAGTCCCCTCTGCGTCCCCTTACTCGGCCTGTGTGTGACACCCGTGCTTCCTGACTGCCCAGCCCTGGGCACTAACCCCTCCTGCCCCTTCCCCCGTCTCTAACAAGATTCCTGAGACCCCCCCCCCCCGTGCTTCCTGCCCCTCCGCCACCACCTGTACTTGAGAGCAGCCCCGTGTTGGGCCCAGAGAGGAGGAGGGAGCTCCTGAGCCTTCCTGCTCTGGTCCAGAGGCAGGCAGCCTGCGAGTCGGCCTCCCGGCCAGCCCTGCCCCCTCCTCCAGGCAGGCCTCCTGCCTGCCGAGCCCTCAGCCCCCAGCCCCCTTCCCCAGAGGCTCGCCCTGTGTTCCTCGGCGAAGCCCGCAGGGGCCGCCCGGGGCAGAGCCCCTGGAGCCCCCGCGCCCACGACTGCTGTGTGACACTCACGTGCCTGTCTCTGCTTCCCTTGCAGAAAGCACTCCAATCCGAGGTAAGAGGCGCTGGCTCGCCGCCCTCACACCCCCTCGCTGCCCCCAGGCCCCCGTCCTGTCCAGCGTCCCTCTGGTCTCTGTGTCTCTGTCTGTCCGTGGCCAGGGGAGGGGCCGGCTCCTCCCCAGGAAGGCGCGCGGAGCCAGGTGCCCGCAAAGCCCCGATCTGTCTGCAGCCTTGGCCTTGACAGCTGTGAAATGGGCGTCCCGAGGCCTCGTCCCTGTGGACTCCGGGAGCCAGGGCGCTGGCAGGTGTCGCTGGGGCAAGCTGGCTGGCGCCCGAGGGCTTGGGGCCAGGCCCGCGGTTGCATTGGCTCGGTCCTGGCTTCTTTCAGAAGTCCTGGGGGGAGCTCGGGTTCCGGGAACTCGCGGGCACGGCGGCGCGGAGGCCTCTGGCCGTGCGGGTTCTGGGGCAGAAGCCGGGTCTTGCATCCGCCCCGGGATTGGTCCCGTCCCTGGAGACTCGGGGTCCCAGGCCCGGTGTTGATTTTATTAATGAGATGCAGATAGAGCTGCCACCTGCTGGCCAGGCTGGGCCACAGTAGCCTTGTGTGCCCCCCCCCCCAAGTGGGGGGTGGCAGGGCCCGAGGACTTGGGCCGCAGTCGCCGCCTCCAGGGTGCGCTTGAGCAGGGAGCTGGGACTCGGCCTGGACTTTAAATCCAGCAAATCCCGGGCACGGGAGGTTTCCACCCCGGCCTGCGTGGCGCGACAGCCCCGGCCCCAGCGCTCAGATCCCGGCCGCGTGCTGGCGCGGAGAGGCGCCCCCTGCCTGGGAGCCCCAGCCCGCACCGCAGCCACCGCCCCCGAGGGTCCTGGGGCTAGGGGGACGGAAGTCCCGCCCCACGTTTGGACAGTCTGCTCGACGCGGCTTCTAGGCGCGCACAGCCCCTTTCGCTTGTTTTGTTTTTTTAATTGTTTATTTGAGAGAGAGAGAGAGAGGGAGGTCGAATGTCTGCTGGTTCACTCCCCAAATGGCCGCAACGGCCGGAGCTGGGCCGATCTGAAAGGAGCCAGGGGCTTCCTCCGGGTCTCCCACGTGGGTGCCGCGGCCCAGGCACGTGGGCCATCACGGCTGCTTCCCCAGGCCATCAGCGGGCCGCCGGATCGGAAGTGGAGCGGCCGCACCGGCCCGGGCTGGGATGCGTGCGGTCGAACGCCCGCACCGCGGTGTGGGCCCGGCCGCTCACCGTGCAGCTCGCGGGGAGCCCGGGAGATCGGCTGGGGCTCCCCGGCCAGGCCGGGCGGGGGCCGGCGCCGCTGACGGCCGCGCGTCCTGTCTCCCGCAGGGGCGCTGCAGATCGAGAGCAGCGAGGAGACCGACCAGGGCAAGTACGAGTGCGTGGCCAGCAACAGCGCCGGCGTGCGCTACTCGGCACCCGCCAACCTCTACGTGCGAGGTAGGGGGCGCCGCAGCCAGGCCGAGGCAGGGCCCGCCCCGCCCCCACCCTCCCGGGCCCCCAGCCTCTGGGCTCCCCCGCCCCCTGCAGACCCCAGCAGCAAGGCCCCGGGTCCTTAGAATGGGCACAGCTCGAGGTCTGTGCCCCCGGCGGCGCGGGGGGTGGGGTGGGGCGGGGAGGGCTGCGGCAGGGGCCTGGCGGGGGGGGGGGGTCAGTCCTGGGCCGACAGGGCCGGGGGAGCCTGCAGGCTTCGGCCCGCCCCGCCCCACCCCCACCCCCGGTCAGCTTCTGTGGTGTTCCGTGCCTTTCCCGTGTCGTGTGCTGGCTTTGCTGTTCTAAACTCTGTGGCCTCGTAGCTCCCCGCTTCCCCGCCCACCCCAACAGTGCCCTGGACCTGAGAGTTGGGGAGGGGTCTTCCAGGCTGGCCCCTAGCCCATGGCCCCTACGCCCCCCCACACACACTTCTGCGCCCTCCTAAGGGCGCCCTGGGAAAGGCAGTGGGAGGCCGGGGCGTGTGCACGCTGGCGGGGAGCCGGCGCCCTGGGCCGGGGTCGTTGCTCCCGGCTTCCCCTCGTGGCTAGACGCTCAGGCCCTCGCCCCGGCCCCTCCCCAGGCCCGGCCCTAAGCTCAGATCCGTGCCGGGCCGAGCGAGCGGCTTCTCCCGCGGCTGCCTCGCCGGCTCCCTGTGGCCAATTCTGGTCGCCACTGCGCACTAAGCCCTGGGCGGCCCCTCTCCTGCCCACGCCCCCGGCCCCCACTCAGCCCCAGAGTGGCTCCGGGCTCCAGACTTCGGACCCGGCCCCCAAAGGCCGCGTGCAGGGGGAGGGAGGGCCCGGGAGGCAGGCGTGGGGGTGGCGGGTGGGGGGTGGGGGGCTGGGCCGGTGCTGCACCCCTGTGGGTGGTCGCGTGGCCCCGAATCTCAGCAGCGTCTGTGGAACTCGCTTGTTTCTCTGCTGGGCCGCAGAGAGCATGGTCGGCAGGCGTGGGGCCAGGAGGGGGCGGGGCCGCTAGCGGGGGAGGGGGCCTCTGGGGTCCGCGCCCCGCCCCCAGCCCCTTCCTCCTGAGCGCCGTGAAGGGGCTCCTTGCGGCCTCCCGGTCTGGATTTAATTGAGAAAAGAGACGAGAGAGGCCGAGGTCGCTGGTGGGTGCGTGTGTGTGCGTGCGTGTGCGTGCGTGTGTGTGCGCGTGTGCGCGCGTGTGTCCAGGGCAGAGCGGAGGTTAAAAAAGAAAAAGGTCGTTGCTGTTCTTTTTATTTTTTAATTTGAATTTCTGTTTTTTTGGTTTAAAGAAAAAAAAAAAAACGGTCGGTTGCAGCTGCGGGCTTGGGAAGTCCTCTTTTTACTCTCTGTATCTCCCCTATTTTTTTCTCTTTTCCCCATGTCATTGTGTTCCGCATCCAACCCCCTTTTACATCCCTCAGAGCTTCGAGAAGGTTGGTGTGTTTTTTTCTTTTTTACTTTCTTTACCCACATTTTTACATCCTGAGCGATGACACGCACACACACGAAGCACACTCGGACGCCGCGCACACACACGCACACCGGTGCACACACACACGGACCAACGCAGAAAAAGCCATTGTCTACATACCTACACACACACACACACGCGTGAGACCGGCGTGTGAATGATCACAAAACCAAAAAATAAATAAATAAAACGCCACGCGAGAGCAAAACCCAGAAAGACACGCAAGTCAGCCGCGCCCAGCCCGGCCCGGGCGCCGCACACGCGATGCTTGCATTGTGGTCTCCTCTGCATCCGTTGGTAACGTTGTTGCTAAGGTCTTGCACTCGTCGTCATGGTAACGGGCCTGATGCATGCTGGGAGAATGTGAGGTTTCTCTGCATGCCGGTTTGGTTTGGTTTGGTTTTCCCAGCGCCTTCTGTGGGAGTGTTCTCTCGTCTTCCGTTGTTCTCGTTCGGTTTTCTTTTTTTTTTTTCTTCCTTTTTCTTTCCCCTCCTTTTTTTTTTTTAGTTTCGTTTTTTTGAGGGGGGGAATGGATTGGTTTTCCTTTCCCCCCACCCCGCCCCTCCACCTGCTCCCCGCCTCCCCCAGAGCCACCGGTCTTTGGTTTCTGTCTCGTTTCCGTGCTGTTGGATTTCTGTTCCTCGGGCTGAGCTGTTTTGTGGATGCTTCCCCAGCGCATTGTGACCTACCAGCCAGTGTTCCTGTCTCCACTGCGGTCCAGCAGGGCCCAGGGGGTCCCACAGCTGGGATGCCGGGGCAGAAAGTGACCGCTGGCCTCCGAGGCACGAGGGGGTGCGGGCGGACGGCAGGGCCGGGGCCCCGGGGAGGTGTGTGTGGACCGAGCCTCTGTGTCCCCCCCCCGGCCCCGGTGCCCACGTTGGCAGGGAGCGAAGCGGGTGCGTCCCCGCCCACGGCCTCCCAGGGTCCAGGGCTCGGCTCAGTTCTCGTCCGTGCAGCGCCGGGTCTGGGTAAGGGGTCGGAGCAGCGTGGGGGCCGTGACGGCGCTGCCCTCCCGGGACGCCGCGGGCCAGGCACCCAAGGGGGCGGTGACAGCTGGTGTGAGACCGGCCGGGCCCACGGCCAGAAGCTTCCATCCGAAAACGTAGTAGCGTGGCAGGTTGTGGAAGTGAGACTTGGGCCAGTGCTACGCCTCCGCCTCCCGGGCGATGCTGGCTGCTTCCCCGTCCCGGCGTCTTGTCCAACAGCACAGCGTGGTCACTTTCTGGGTACCTGAGCATCCGAGCTGTGGAATTCTGGAAAGAAAAAACAAGGGAGACCTTGGACACAGCCTCTCCCCCTCTGCCTCTCCTACTCTCCCTTTGCTCCCCCCTCTCTCCTCTTTTCTCCCCCTCTCTCCCCTCTCTCTCTCTCCCCTCTCTCCTTAGCCTTTCACTCCTGCAAACCGTCAGATACACCCCCATCCCGTACCCTTCCCCAAGAAAAGGCAAGCTCTTGAGAGTCCAGCTCCACCCCAAGGGAGAGCCAACCCCCAGTTAAATCCGGGTCTTTATTCCGAGCCCAGCCCCCGGCTCCCCCAGCCTGTTTGGGCTGCCCCTCCCCCCTTGCCCTCTGAGCTCATCAGCGGCGCAGGAGCTGTCAGGTTGACCTTGGAGAACCCTCAAAAGCCCCACCCCAGCTCTAGGTCCCGAGGGGGGGGGCAGACTTCCGGGCGCTGAGACCCCAGGCTCTGGACAGCGTCCTGCCCGGCTGTGTGATGCCGGCGTCCCTGGGCCTCAGTGAGAATGCACAGGGCCCTGCTTTGGAAGGACTCCAGGGGAGGCGTAGATGCCACAGCCCCGGCTGTGTCTCCTGGCTCCATGGCCCACCCAACCCCTCATCGGTGGGGCCCCCCCTGCCATTGCCCCCCCCCAAGGTTCAGGGACGGAGAAGGGGGCAGTAACGGCCCCAGGCAGAGCGCTAGGCTGGCCTCGCCGACAGGAGCCGCCCACCCCTCTAACTGACAGGTCCAGGGCTGGTATCAGACTTGCCCTTGGGAGATGAACCCCTGGGACCCACAGAACCACACTCAGAGCCACGCGCTGGCTGGCGGCTCGCTTGGCCCCGGGGACCTCCCCGGCTGTTCATTTTCCTTCCTGTCTCTTTAAAATCGCAGGCCCGGCAGGCAGGCGTGGGCTGGTGGCTCCAGGCGGGCTACAGGGCACAGCTGGAAGCAGCGCGCTGCCCCCTGGTGGCAGTGGGAGTAGGCTGGGGCCGGGGGCGGAGCCCTGCACCGGCAGGCTTAGGAAGGCGGAGTCTCCAGGGCTGAGCCAGGGCGCGGGGTCCCGGGTCCCCAGCTCCCGGGGCTGCTGGTTTACGTGTGACCCCAGACCTCTGCAGGGACAGCCGGGGCACGCAGCGTCACTCAGGCCCCAGAGTCGGCGCTGTGCCCTCCAGGTGCTCCCACGGAGGCGGGGCCCAGGCCACCCTGCCCCTCCCGTACCTGGGATGTCCTGGGGTGCGTGGCTGGGGAGGTGCCCCCTTCCTGCCCTGACGCCCCTCCCCCCAGCACTCGCAGCGGAGGCCCCCGCCTGCCTTGACCTTGGCGTAGGCAGAGCTAGGGCAGAGCCAGCCTTTCTCACCTTGGCCCTGGGGGGGAGAGGGCTCGGGGTGGGGGTGGGGGGGAGGCCGCTCGGCAGGAACACTGAGCTCCCCCGTCCGCTGGCCTGCTGCCTGCCTGCCCTGCATCGCTGTCTCCTCTGCTGGGGCTGGGGGGGGGGGAGGTTGGATTACACCTTGCGGCGGGGAGGGGCAGAGAGGGCGCTTTGGATACCGCGGCAGCTCGCCGAGGCCGCAGGCCGGCTGGGGGCTCCAGGCGCCCCTGGGCCTCGCGCGCCAGCTTGATGGCGGAGGGAGCTGGCCGTGGGGAAGGGGAGGCAGGCAGGAGGGGGCGGGGCGAGAAAAGGCAGGTGCAGGGGGCGGGCTCCAGGGAGGGGCCAGAGCCCTCCCTTGCTGACAGGTGTAATCTAAGCTTGAGCGAGCCCAGGGAGGCTGCGCCACTTCTTGGCTTCACCCCTACCCCGCACCCGCATTTCCATTTTGGAGTTTGGAGGAGCCTGGGCGGCTTCTCTCACCCCAAAATGCCCAGCAGAGCCCCCCCTCCCCTGGAGCTGCGGCTTGCTGGACCGTGTGATGACAGACACTGTGGCGCTCTGCCTAGCTTCACCCAGATCACCTCACTTTTTGAGTATCCCCCCTCCCTCCCCCACCCCCGCCCCTCTTTTTTTTTATTTTATTTTTTGAGTTTGTGCCTCTTCCAGCTTCGGGGAGGGGTCGTCTCCTGGTTGCTTTGACGGCTTTTGAGTTGTTTTTTTTCCATGTGAATCGGGGTTTGAAGC